TTTTTTATTTTTTATCAAATTTCGAATATGTTCATTAATTTGATCAAATTTTAATCCTGTGTATCTGAATATAAAAAAAGTAGATAGAAAATAAAATTATTTGAAATAATAGCTACCTCTAATCAGTATTTTTAAATTTTTTACTTTAGAAATTGTGAAATATTCCTGGATTACTATTTGGTTTTATATATTTACATAAATAATTACGTCATAAGATAAAGATATAATTGTAAATATTTGTAAAAATGTGTACTAACTCGAGAATGGTGATATTAATCAAATCACCCATAAAATTAATATAAAAACAATAATCTCGTAGAAAGCTGAAATACATAGTTGATGTCATAACTCCGTTATATTCGTCTTTCAATATTGAACCTGAGCAGTATGTTATTAATAGAACTGTTGCGATCCATCCTAAGGCATACCACATTACTTTTCTACGTAGCTTGTTGTAATCTGTTATTATTCCTAATTTAAGCAATGTGTTGTCGATAATATCAAATCTTTTTAAACAATTTTGGAATTTCTGTCGCAAAAATAGAAAATTAAATAGACAAATAAATATTATGGTAAATGTTCCGATTAGAAGAATCAGCTCTCGTGACGTATTGTCAAAATCATGACTTTAATTGACCTTAGAAGATGTTAGTTGTTGATCGTTAAAGATCATTGTTTGTTAAAGAGTTATTAACAAATATTAGTTATTATTGTATAGACATATCCAACTTGATATAAATTTTACTTAGTATAAATATCACATTATTAGCATATTTATGTATGTTAGTGAATTTGTACTCGGAAGGACGTAACAATCATAGATCCCATTTTGCCTAGATGAGGTAAACCTCACTTCATGCGAAAAGTCAAAACCAGTCTGGAACTTCGCTCCGCTTGAAAAGTATACTTGTATAGAGGCAGCCGTTTCCTATGGGAAAAGGGTTCAACTATAAAAAAAATTGATCCATAAGTTTGACACAAACCTCGCTTTATGTGGAAAGTTATAAGTCTAAGCGTGATTCTCTCTCTCTCTCTCTCTCTCTCTCTCTCTCTTTCTCTTTCTCCACTCGATCCACTTAGATTCACAACTTTTCGTGCGAAGCGAGGTTCAATCCAAACATAGCCGTGTTCCAAATTGCCAATACTGAAAATCTATAGAATACGTAACAGAACATTTTCAACGTTGATAGTAAATTTGAAAGTTCATGTGTCTTCATGTGTTTTTGTTATTTACTGATGTTCCACTTGTGGGAAGGGGAGACGGAACCATTGCATCCACAACGGTTTCGATTAGAGTTCCTGTAGTAAGAGTTAAACTATCGAGTGATGATTTTTGGCAGGGAATGGAAGTAACTCGTTACTTGAAACTGTAGCGAAGTTACAGGGATATAATCATTTTCTTCATTATAAATATTAGAAATAATGATCATAAAACCGCAAGGCATGAGACTCATAATATGAAATACTCAGAAAATCAAAAAAATCAGAGGATTCTCTGAAGAAATTTAAATGTTTATTTTCGGATCTTATAATAAGTATATGTTTGACATACTTAATTTGACATATATAATTGTAATGGATTCTTATTCTTAGGATTATTGTATTTTAAAATTAGCGAAAAGATATATAATTACTATGTGTAATTAAGATTGTAAGTTGTTCTTATTTTTGTGTAATTAAAGCGTTTATAGAAAAATCTTTTCTTTATTTCTTTTCTTGGTTTTCTCTCTTAAATAAAAAAAATTCTTATGTCTTATATTAAGAACCCTTTTAAAGCAAAATTGGCAATTTTAACATAAACTTTCATACACAACAAGTATAGTTAGCTAACTTTTGCCGATAAAACTTGAATTTATTTTATATAAGTTTAACATTAAATAGGAATTAAGGTAATACATTAAATAAATAGCACGCCGCAAAGAAAAGGTTACGCTTTCAGTGTGAATATTAATATACATATACACATATATCCTGTGTTTATTAAATTAGTTCAAAAATCAGTTGTTCTGTTTACAAAAACTTATTTTGTTAATAACTTTTTAATGAACAGCGATCGACGGCCAAAAAATCTTACTCAGGGTCATTATACAACGTATACATATTAAGATCAATATATTTTGGACTGTCACTCTTAATCGGAATATTTACCATAGTTATTACAATTAAAAAAATGTAGAATTTAATGTACTATAAATATAATCTTTATTTTCAGGGAATGAAAGTGTTACTTTTCCGTTTTTATAATAACTTTGTACAATAATTTTTTGATAATGATGTTGCAATTCTTTATGATGACTAATTATAGAACGTAGATGTTACGTTAAGTTTAGGAAAAAAAGTAAATCGTCACTCTTACGCATTACTTATTGAAAAAAACTCCATAAACTTACTTCGTAGCAAGTTGCATTAAAAACCAATGAGTTAAAAATTGCAAGTTATTTTTTTCAGTAACGAATGACTTTTTCAACTGTTATATTTGTTATAAGTAACTATTATCTGCTCTGTATTACATAATCTTCATGAGAAATTTGCAACGTCACTACCAAGTTGTTATTACAACCAGATATCTAAGTTATTAACAATAAGTAATGACAGTTGCAGTAATTAGTTACTCCCATTCCCTGCATATTTCATCAATATAATTATGTAAATAGATAAGAATATGTTTATTTTTAAGTATTATGGTTATTCGTTACCTTGTTATTGTATATTCCAAACCCAATTGACAATATCGTCACAGGTATTTCTAGACGATGACCGACATTTTCCACGAAGGACAAATACTCATAAAAAGAAGTAAATGCACAAAATGTGAGGAAATAATAAACTGACCAAAACAGCAGTATATATATGGCACTAAACCAAAATCTTAAATGATTAGATATGGCAATTCTTAAACCAAATAAGTAACTCATTATTAAAAGTGGCGTTAAAATCGAACGAATACTTTTGGTCATTGCGCATATAATTTTTATTTCAAACTATACTTTTGTTGATCAGTTGAAAGTATAAATTGAACCGAATGGTAACGGTGGTATAAATACAATTTTAGTCAAAAGCACTTAGGAATATTAAAGTAATTATAACCTATATACCACAACTTACCCATTATTTATTGAAACTTATTGATGAAAGATGGATATACTTTTATTTTTACTCGTATACGTCGGTACGTAAAAACTATGCATATTCTGGCAATTTCATTTTTTATTTTTTCGTCTGTTTCTCAATATAATATCAATTTCAATTACAATTGCAGTTGTAACAAATACATAAATAATGTACAAATATATTGCAATTATGTGTGAATTGTTTCTCTATATTATGTATAAAAACATATATATGTATATAATGATATTCCTAGATAGCAAAACCTGCGAAGACAGATTTTGAGTAGATCAATTTTTGATTGCAAAAAGGCAGCAAATTATTGCACATAAAGTTTGTACTATTTTCCAATGTTAACAAACTGCTGTTAGAAATAGGACAAAGTCTGTTGATATGTTTTGCCAGCAGATTGGTTGCAGAAGCCAAAGAAGATTTTGCAGCTTTTGTTCAGTTTCTGCTGTCACTCTGCCGTCATATTCCTAGTACGCGTAGATTCTGTTTTCAATAATTTACTGGTATAACATGACACCAGGCTTTGTTGCCAGATCCATAATCAGATCAAATGACTATGATTTTGTAATGCGGATTTGATCGAATTCGCTACCAATTTGTCTGCAAAGGGATTTGTGCATTGACAAAAATGATCTGGATGTTTGACATCGATGTTGACCTCGAAACATGCTACCGTTTGGTTTCTGTCACTAATCTAATGGTATAACATGACAGCAGGCTGTGTATAGATCCATAGTCAGATCAAATGGAGACACAAATGACTAAGATTTTATAATAGGAATTTGATCGAATTTGCTGCCAATTTGTCCGAAAACTGCTAAAATTTTGTAATCAGCTTTCATAATAAGAGATTCATAGACAGATCTATGTAAAAATATAATGAAAATTTTATAGCATAAAATTATTATCTATATTTAATAATATAAAAAATTTAATAACATCTTTCTTTTTTTACACTTTCTCTCAGCTCTAATGTAGAAACACTCAAGTCGTGTAATGTATTTTATGAACATTATATGTGCATTATTATCAGATCAAGTTTTTGTAAACTCTATCATAGTTTGATAAAATGTTTATTCATTTGCTTGCGTGTATATTACTATAACTAAATGTGGCAATAAACTAAAAATAAAATTAATATATAAAAGCAATATATAAATTTAACATTACCTGTTCATATACAGCTTTCACATCTAAAGATGGCTCAATCGTGAGACCGAACATGTCATGTAATATATATATAACTTTTAATTATTTATAGAATATTATATTAAATATACTTCTTCTTTAAGTTTTTGTTTTTAAAAAATTTTTTGTTATATTTGACTCTTAAGTGCCTTGTAAACTCTTGATATTGTTGTTTAAATTATCCTTTATTCTTATAATAATTTACTCAGTTCTTTTGATATATGTATGGGGACATAATAAACTATTAAACGTTCCATTTTATATTGTTTTTTATTGATTTCATTCTGAAAAAATGATTAAAATATTACATTCATATTTATAATGTTTTTATATATATTATAAATCGGAAAGCAATCAGTAATATGTATACAACATATTAATAATAATAATTTTAATTAGAATATTGAAACACTGTGTTTACATAAAAGAAACACATGTAATTATTTTCGTCTTTACAATTACAAGAATTGTACAAAAGCAAAATGAACCAAAAATATTAAATATTTTTTTATTTGTCATTTTATTGTATAAAATATTATTAGTTGTTTTTTTACATATTAATTATTTCTTTTAAAGCTTAGATATTATATTGTATCAAATCCAGAAGGTATTGTACATACAATACATTTTGTAAATCACATTATATTGTACATATATAAATTATTAAATCTTTTACAAACTCTATAATAATCTCATATAAATTTTTGCTTATTTACTTCTGCTTGTAGTATTATAACTACAACGGTTGCTACAGATGCAATGAACTAAAATTAAATACAACATATAAATTCTTTTTTAAATATTTGTCAATTTGAATTTGTAGTATAATGATATGATAAATATAACATACTCCGTGAAGAAATTTAAAACCAAATTGGAAAAGTCCAATTCCATAGAATCTAAGTGGGGCATGAACTATTCGTAATGAAAATTGTGAAATCTATGTAAAAAACGTATTATTTTAATGCATATTTTTTTACTTTTATATTTACTTGTACATTTAATACTTTAATAATTATTTTAACGAATTTATATTTTAAAACTTACGATTCCCCGAATTTCGATATCACAAGTAACATATGATAACCTATTTAATATATCTGCTGTTGCTTTCGCCTGAAATTTTAATGTATGTTAAATGTAATTGTTAAAAAATGTAAAAAAGAAATTTCTAATTTAATTTTAAAAGTATATGTCAATAATAATCTTTGAATTTATTTATACATATATTGTAAACAAATTTTAAATAAATGTTTTCTGAAATTTAATGTAATTTGGCCTACCTTGGTGGTGACTGTTTCACACATATAATTAATGAGCAGAAATTTGAACATATGATTAAACATGTAGAACGTGTGAAGCATGATGGACATTACTTTAGCTTTGACATAATTTTTGGTAAGTATTGGGTAGAGAAGTTCGCGCAAGTCAAACGCTATCCAACCAAAATAGCATGCCATTTTGATAGTTATTTGGATTCCAAATATTGAGTCTATTTCACGAGTTATTTTGCGTAACTCTAAGTAAAGGTGTCTGCATATAGGAACTAACTGTTATAAATGTTACATTTTTTCTATGATGTTATCGTCATTAATAGAATTATCATAAAATTTCTTACATAGTGATCCACATTATGCATTTGCTGTTTATTGGTTTTGAAAATCTATCTTGATGAGGATATATTCTGTTTTCCCAAGCCCGTGTTATTTTGTGTCTTTGATTTTTTATTAAATTCCGAATATGTTCATTGATTTGATCAAATTTTAATCCTGTGTATCTAAATATAAAAAAAGTAGATGGAAAATAAAATTATTTTGAAAGCTATTTCTAATCAGTATTTAAAAATTTTTCATTTTATAAATTGTGAAATATTCTTTTATTTTTGTTTAATTTTTCATGTTTATATAAATAATTACGCTATAAGATATAATTGTAAGTATATGTAAAACGTGTACTAACTCGAGGATGGTTACATTAATCAAATCACCCATAAGATTAATATAAAAACAATAATCTCGTAGAAAGCTGAAATACATAGTTGATGTCATAACTCCGTTATATTCGTCTTTCAATATTGAACCTGAGCAGTATGTTGTTAATATAACTATGGCGATCCATCCTAAGGCATACCATATTACTTTTCTGCGTAGCTTGTCATAATCTGTCATTGTTCCTAACTTAAGCAATGTGTTGTCGATAATATTAATTTTCTTCAAATAGTTTTGGAATTTCTGTCACAAAAATAAAATATGAAATAGAGAAATAAATATGGTAAATGTTCCGGTTAGACAAACCAGTTGCAACCCGTGTGAAGTATTGTCATGCTCATGAGTGACCTTAAAAGGTTTTAGTCGTCGATCGTTGTTTGTTAAAAACTTACTAACTATATATTGATTATTATATATATTGATATTATATACTCGTATATATTGATTATTATTATATAGACATATGAATTTAATTTGATATAAATTTTACTTTGTATAAATATCATATTATTATTACATGTTTACATGTGTTAGTAAATTTGTTGGGGAGGAACGCAATTACATAAATCGTACAATCATAAATCTCATTTGCTTAGGAAAGATAAAATGGACCTCGCTTGATGCGAAAAGTCGAAACTAATGTGGAGCTTCGCTCCGCTTGGAAAGTTGTGAGTCCATGTGAAACCTTGCATTGAATTGAGAAGTGTATGCAAAGAGGCAACAGATTTAACTTCCTATGAGAAAAGAGCTCAATTATCAAAAATTTGACACGTAAGTTCAATATGAACTTTGCTTTGTGTGGAAAGTCTAAGCGTGGTTTCATTGTTTCCACTTGAGTTTACAATTTTTCATGCGAAGTGAGATTTAATCCGAACATAACTGTGTTCCAAAATTAACTGCCAAAGGTAACTGCCAATTGAAAACCTATAGCGTACGTAACGTAAACTGCAATATTTTCATCGTTGATAGTAAAATTGAAACATTGCCCACGTGTTTAGTTTTTTGTTATTTATTGGTGTTCCACTTGAGAGAGGGCAGAATTTGCATCCACGATTTCGATTAGAGTATACCTCCAATAAGAATTAAGCTATCGAGTGATAATTTTTGGTTGGTTCACCATATTTGGCTAAGGAAAGCGGTAGTAAGATAGCTTGTTATAGTTTGTTGCTTTCTCACTTTATCTCATACTCATGTTACCTAATTAATGGCGGACGTGTAATGCGAGACAAGTGTCCTATCTTACTAGAAGATTTTTGGTTTCGATGTTCAAGCGAACATCCTCCGCATTTTCTCTTCTTCTTCAAAAGTAAAATGAGATCTATAATGTAAAGTCGTTTGTTATAGGGCGAGGGAGATAGGGGCGCTTATTATAAGACAGTTTCTACTTAAGACAGCAGAGTTGTTTCTGTTAAACCATTAAGATATATTATTGGTTTTATCATGAATTTATTCCTCTTGAGCTGAAATTTATTTAGTACAAAATTCATTATTTATTGACGTGTGTCTTTAACTCTTATTCATTAGAGAATAAAAAAATATTTGGCAATAAATTCTGCATGCAATGAGAGTAAGGTCATGTTAATAAGAAAATATGGGAGGTAATAATTGTGTTTATTGTAAATATTAGAAATGATAATTGTGAAACCGCATAAGACTCGTAAATGAGATACTTAAAAAATTAAAAAAAAATTAGGAGATTCTCTGAAGATCAAGAAGTTTAAGTATTGTTTATTTTCGAACTATTCTATTATATAATAAGTATTATATGTATATATGTTTGACATATTAATGGTAATTGAATTCTATTTTTAAAATTACTGTATTTTAAAATCAACGGAAAAATATATTATTATATCTAATTAAGATTGTAATTTATTGTTTCTACTTTTATGTAATTCAAGCGTTTATAGAAAAAGCTTTTTTTTATTTCTTTTTTTGGTTTCTTTTCATATAAAAAATCATTGTATATCATATTAGGAATTCTTTTTTCAAATTAGCAAAATTTACAATTTTGATAAAAACTTTCACATATAACAAAGTATAACTATTGATTGCTAATTTTTGACGATAAAAATTGAATATATTTTTTATAAGTTTGACATAAAAATAGAAATTAAAATAATAAATTAAATAAATCAGACGTCTTTAGAAAAAAAGTATCATTTTAAGCGCATCTTTACTTTATGTATGATTAAGTAAAGTTTCGTCTTTCTGTAATGTGTACATTAATATACACATATCCTGTGTTTAATATTCAAATTGTTTAAAAATCACTTGCATTCTGTTCACAAAATGTATTTTGTTAATAACTTTTTAATGAACAATGACCGACGGTTAAAACGTCTCAAAAGCATTCACTGGCTTGAAAATCTATCTACACTACCCCCAAAAAGTTTCCGGACATGGAACTTAAAATTGTATAATATTCAGGTCACTATAACTCGGTAAAAAATCATTGCAGACAAAAAACACTAACAATAAGTAATGGCAGTTGCAGTAATTAGTTACTTTCTGTATATTTTATCAATGTAATTGTGTAACTAAATAAGAATATATTTAATCCTAATAATTATTATAACAATTGCTTTTTATTTATAATATTGCATGTATTATGGCAATTTGTTACCTTGTCATGGTATATTCCAAACACGATTGACATTATCGTCACAGGAATTTCTAGACGATGACCAATATTGTCCGCAAAGGACAAATACTCATAAAAAGAAGTAAATGCACATAACGTGAGGAAATAGTAAACTGACCAAAACAATAGTATATATATGGCACTAAACCATAATCTTGAATGATTAAATATGGCAATTCTTAAACCAAATACATAACTCATTATTAAAAGTGGCTTTAAAATCGTATGAATATTTTTGATCATTGCGCACATAGTTTTTATTTTAAACTGTGCTTTTGTTGATTAGTTGGAAGTATAAATTGAACCGAATGGTAACGGTAGTATAGATACAATTTCAGTTAAAGCACTTAGAAATATTGAAGTAATTATAGCCTATATGTCACAATTTATGTCCATTATGTATTGAAACTTATAGATGGGAATACTTTTATTTTTGCTCTTATACGTTGGTGCATAAATACTATAAATATTCTAGCAGTTTTGTTTTTTATTTTTTGTTTGTTCTTTGTAATATACATTTAAGATTGTCATTAAACAGTATGAATTTTAATTGCAAGTTGTTAACTGCAAATTTAACTGCAACTGCAGTTGTAATAAATATATAAATAATATACAGACATATTATAAATATATTACAATTATGTGTTGCTTCTCTATATTATATATAAAAACATATTTATGTAATGATGTTACCAAATAGCAAAACCAAAAGCGGAGACAGATTTTGAGTAGAGTATGCTATCAATCTTTGATTGCAGAAAGGCAGCAAATTATTGCACATAAAGTTTGTATTATTTACCAATGTTAACAAACTGCTGCTAGAAATTGAACTGTTGACATGTTTTGCCAGCAGATTGGCTGCAGAAGCCGAAGAAGATTTTGCATCTTTTGTTTAGTTTCTGCTGCCAGTCTGCCATTAGATTCCCAGTACACGTAGATCCTGTTTTTGTCAGTAATTGTATTATTTGTTATTATTTATGATAATTTCATAAAATTTTTAGATGGCTATTGTACATACTTGTGACATACTATGTGAAATGATCATAGATGAAAAGAGCATTTCGATTCATGAGTATATGGAAGCATATAATCGATTATTTGTTAAGAATTTTTTAAATAATAATTTTTTTTAATCCATGTTCACGTCATCTTTCAAATAAAGGATCAATCAAAAATCTTTTTTTTTTATATATTTTTTTAAATTTATACATTCATTAATGCAAATTAGGCAGTTTATTTTGTCATAGTTCCGCTTTATTTTTGTTAAACACAATCGTATCAATTGACAGGTCCAATCGTAATACTGTTTTTGATATGACATTTTGGACTTTATAGCAGTTTATACAACACAATTAATATAATTATCGTCAAAAATTTATCACTGCTAGCCCATTTATTGTATATGAGCGACATTCGAGGTTAGCAAATGAAATCACGTGATTTATTTATCGCTGAATATGAGCGATGAGCGACACCATGAACACATATTTTTAACTTGCGACATCGATGATGAAACATCGAAAAAATGATGGGTAAATCTCAATATTTTCTAAATATCGATGATTTTTGAACATGTCTATCCGCAAACTGATATAGAATTTTGCAATCAAAGTTTGTAATAAGAGATTTATATAGGTAGATAATAATGTATGTGAAAACATAATAAAAATGTTAAATTTATTGCATAAAATGCTGTTAATTATTATTTATATTTCTAATAATAACAGAAAATTAATAATATCTTTCTTTTTTTACAAACTTTGTGTTAGTTCTAATATAAAAATACTAAAATCGTATAAAATAATTTATGGACATCATATGTGTATTATTATCAGATCAAGTTTTTGTAAACTCTGTCATAGTTTGATAAAATGTTTACTCTTTTACATGCGCTTGTATTACTATATCTAAATCAGTGACAATAAACGTGATAAACTAAAAATGAAATCAAAATATGAAATATATGCATATAATTTTTTAATTATTTTTGAATGAAAAATATGAAATTTATATTATTAATGTATTTATAATATAATTTCTTTGCCGAGTATAGTTACCAATTTTTATTCCAAGGGCGCATAGAATGTGAATTATTGCAAAGTATTGTTTTATTTGGATATTTTTAATATAATTTTTTTTTCTTTAATAACTTTTTTGTGAACATTTAGATATACATTATGCATATCTATCGAAAAACCCGTAATAAAATTATATTAATATAACATTAACTAAATTCTTTGTTCTTCAGATATATATATAGTGTCATAATAAGCTAATGAATGTTTATTCCATTTTATATTGTTTTCTTGTTTATTTTATTTAAAAAAAAAAGTTTAAATCCACATTAACAATGTTTTCAAATTTAAATAAAAAAATAATCAGTAATATACAACATGTTAATAAGAGTGATTTTAATTGGAGTATAAAAACACCTCAGGTGATTGTTTCTACATGAAAAACACATGATTAATCTTGTCTTTGTAATTAAAAAAATCGTACAAAAACAAAATGAACAAGAAATATTAATATTGTTCAT